AGCAATGTGGTAACATATCTTCCCAGGACCTGGACGGCTGGATTTTTGACAAACCTACAATAAATTTTACATACATTTTGTCTTAATTTACATAAGTTTACTATTTGATGGGTGGCTTACCCATGGTTCGCACGTCCCGAGACCCCTTCCCCTAAATATAGCCACATCCTTGCTCGGGGTTGTTGTTTCGCATTTTTCGATAATGTCACCTACAGCTTCCATTCATTCTTTGCACCCTAGTTTTAGAGCGGAAAGGCGGGCTTACGAACTTGTCGTCAACGGAAATCTCTTTTTTTGGATGATGAGACTCCGACACCTACTTTAGCCCCGTCTTACCCCTGCTGTTCACATAAGCCTACATAAACCCTACCCTGGGTGGCGGCGTGCGCCACATGGTGGCGCACGCAACAAATACACTGGCCGTCCGTTATGGGTTAAAGGAATCCTTCGCGGAAAATTCTTGCATTCTTTCTTGACATGAATGTGTCAGTTGTGATCACTGGAAACAGCACACAAAGTTTCACGCATGAAGATTCGGTTTCCGAAGAGAAACAAACGTACAAAAACTACACGTTATGGACATCGAAGGTAATTCGGGCGGAGCCAAACGAGACATGGAAAGAAGTTGGCCTTTAGCCGGCTACGTATCAGGCGACGCAATGAAAGAATCGGGTAAAGCGATCGATTTTGGAGAATAGAGACAAATCGATAGAATAGGATGGAGTAGAAGTGTAAGATGTGAATGCAATAAAGCAGAAGGCCAGAAAGAGTTTCTAGTGAAGGCACTCCAAGAACCAAGTGGAAGCATCCCCGTCGCCAGCATTTGTGAAAGACGTCCGTGGGCACTTTGAACGCGTAGCAGCCCTTTCGATTTTTTGAAAGCAAAGTATTTCTGTTCTTTTCATTCTTATCGTGGATAATGAGTCTCAAGCCAGTGATTTATGGCCCAAATAAAAGCATGATTTTTCCGCGAAGGATTCCTTTAAGGTTGGCGAACCTACCAAGCTGGTATCCGGAGTCTGGATCCTTCCCCACAGCTTGTAGTGTTCGCCCGGGGCCAAGCTTCCTCCTCCTTCCGACCCATCCCCCGATTACCCCCCCCCCCCCCAGTATAGTTCTGTGTCATGTAAAATCATCATTATTCTGTTGCTAACATGCTACCTCACTATCTGCTCACTGTGAAAATTGCGGTTACAACAGTTGAATAAATAAAATGGGCTTCTTTTCCTGCGGCTGCGTTTGTTCTCTTCAAAACAGGTCATTCAATAGCCACATCCACTTTCATTTTTGAGTACGATAACCATACTTAGACAGTCGTAAATAGACCATAGGGTATCAGAACGTGCTTTTGCAAATTTTCTTAATATCTGAAGGTAAAAGTACCCTTTCAGGGAAGTGGAGCGGTTGTGCAGTCAGGGAAAACGAAACTATTCCTACGCTGTTGGTTTGCTGGCAATGGCAAATCGCATGTGCGAAACTCGCGCGATAGGGACTGGTGACTGCGACATCTCCGCGAGACGCCAAGTGCTTCTAGCGGCTAGTCGACTGTTGGCATTTGCTCCAGAAGTAAGTTTGTCATACTAGCTATAAGTTTGTTGTACGCTACTTTACAAGACAAAGCTGCTTAGGCTGTACAAACGCAGTGCTTGTCGTCGTTGTGCAGTCTTCTCCCCACAACACATCCATCTACGGTTGACGTCTCCCGCCTCCTGAAGCATCTGCTGGTGCCGGTGGCGAAAGCGGTGGTTCTTCAAGTCAGAGATAAAGCGGCGCATACGGTCACCACGGCAACTATGAATGTTAGCTTTTTGTTCGAAGTTGAAATGGCAAAACTAGGCTTGCGCATAACTCGAAGGATGTCAATCTCTATTCTCTAGACCTGCCTAATCAACGCACCTCAAAGCTGGCGTACTGATCGGACTGTCTCGCCTGAAATCGGCAAAATGACGGCACAATTCATTAATGACGTTTGGTTGGTAGCTCTGATAATTTGTTGTAAGTAGTACTGCCATTTCGAGTTTCCAGCTCTGGCAATTTCAACGAAGACTGGTCGGTGTGTATGCGGCGAGAATTGGCGACAGCGCTTTTGGGTGTCGTCCAACTGACGACGTCGCTTTCAAAATCAACTTCTCGTGAAAGTATGAACAAGGAGCCTGTACATTCCATATTGAACTCTAAGAGGTGAGGAAAATGCTCTCATAATTTCATGTTTAATGTAAATAGAGAAATCTACATTTCATCTCCCCCTTAGAGAAAAATGTTGAAGAATTCGAAGCTTACTTGTTAAGATTCTGGCTGTCTGTGGCAGCGCTGGCGCTCGTACGAGAGATCGTTCTTGGTTGGCGCTGAGTGAAAAGTGGAATGACTTTCGAACACCAAGTCAAGAACCAGTCACGCTCTGTGAGAATCACGACGATGGTACTACTCCAGCTCAGGTAGATACTGGTTAAATCCCTCCTTTGGGGAGGGCGATGGACTTCTGGCTCGTCCGGGCTGGCACGCGGCATATTGCGCGGCGAGGCAAGTCCTCGCGGGCTTCTGCAGTGGATATAACACGTCTAATCGCGTGCAGATCGCGGATGGAATCCGCGAGGTTCTGCGATTCGAACTACTTTCCAACGCGTGAAGATTTGAGGATAATGTTGATGGAGAGGGAACTTCAGTAGGAAAAGATTAGAAGGATAGCGATCAGGGGCACATGTCGTTGGGGATGGCGGCGGGGACAATTAAGAGAGTGAACAAATTACTGTGCTCAAAATTAAACCTCGAAGAGAGGAAGGGATCCTGGAAGAGGATGTGAACAACTTGTGTTCTCCCTGGCATTTCTCCCCTCTCCTAGTCTTAGTCCTAGTGTCATCTACCATCGGGCCTTTTTTGAATGTCCCTTCTTGAGTGGATATGTTGAAGAACACATCAGAACCTCCAGCCAGGATGTTTCAGAAGCTCAAATGCGCAAAGGGATAATTAAGTAGGAATCAAAATAGATCAACGACCAAACCCAACGATTATGCCTTACGACAATTTTAAGAAGAACCTTGCAAGGAGCGCGGTAGGCAAGATCAGCGCTACGTTTGCCCCAGTCTTTGCTACTGATCGGGCACTGAGCTATTGGCTCAATAGCATCGGCAAAGGATAGGAGCTGCAAAGTTCGACCTCATCATGGACCTCCAGTCACTTTCGATGAGGACCCCTTGCGCAACGAATAGGAAGTGCATCCGGACGCTATTAGCAGGAAACTGTAGCAAACATCTGGACGCAGCCTACGCTCCATGAGTCGACACCTGAATGGAATGGGCTGTAGCAGAATGAAGCCTCGATGGAAACAGCATGCATCGGCTGACCATGACCGAGAAGCACGCCTGACCATCTGCAGAAGTTTCATTCTGCGACCGTATAGACAGACATTCCCTAGTTGGTCACCAGTGCAGATGAGTCATGAGTCCACCACGATAACAACACGCGCACGCCTTGTGGCTACCTCGCAGCCTGGACTCACCATCTCGACCAAAGCATGAGCTCTCTCATCAGAGGATATTACCCCCGGTTCGTTGGATTCGCTGGGTATCTATGCAGGCAAGCATTGCGAAGGTGACCATGGAATAGCTCCCGAAGTTGGCTACAGCAGTGCAGAAGAACGGTTCGAAACGTCTCAAAATCTCCTTCCTCTGCTGGACCGCCCGAAATCACATTGCAAAGGTAACTCGCCACGTTTCGAAGGAACTGGCTGAAGGTGTACCGGACAGTGCTAAGGCCTGCGATGCTCTACGGCAGCGAGTGCTGGCCTGAACAAGAATCACGAAAGGCAGCTTCACTCTGCCGAAATGAGGATGCTGAGATGGGCCTGCGGCTGGACGCGGCTGGACAGGGTCAGAAACGAGGATGTCAGAGCGGTCATGCAGACTGCCCCTGTCCAGCTGAAGGTACGGGAACAGCGTCTGCGATGGTATGGGCATGTGCTAAGGAGGCCACAGGACCATCCGATAAGAACAGCGATGGACTTCGAAGTACAAGGCAAGCGACCGCGAGGAGCCCCAAAGAAGAGGTGGAAAGACGTAATCAAGAAGGACCTAAGTGAAGTCACGGCCACGATAGAAGATGCCCTGGACAGAGCAAAGTGGCGACGAACAGCGGACCCTGCGACTGCGCGGGACTAACGCTAGGGAGAAGAAGAAGAAGAAGGTT